TATATATATATATATATCAGGGTATTCACCAACGTTTTCGCTTATGGTATATATTTGCTACGTTAAGCCATAGTACGCTAGTCCGCAAAAACACCAAATAGTTCTTTCATGTTCGTATCCTTGAGGACCCTCCGTCAGGTGTTGCAAGGACTGACGATCAGGTTTGGCAAGTTTGAACCTTGAAGAGAAAGCAGCGTGAGGTAAACAGAGTGTTTTAACCTTGACAGATCGGGGAGAGCATTTTCAAGCAAACAAACAACGGTGCTTTATCGAAGTTTTTGCTAACTGAGAGAGCATCAACCCAAATGTTGGTTCACTGGCATCGGTCAATAATTATTTGCATACAAACGCAAACAATTTTATGGTTTAATCGAGTACAAGTCCACAGTAGACGTCCAAAAGTTCCGAGGTCTCCTATCTTACTACTGCAAATTCATTCTTGTTGTGGCCAGCATCCTCGCCCACGTAGCGGAAGTACTGAACAAGGCAGTCACAGGGTGGGTTGATGGCCACTGCTCGCTTGGCATTGGCAGAGCACACTATCGGTGTTGTGCATTCCAGCTGAACGACATCCATGTTTCGTGTCGCCGTAGTTCATCAGGAGCACTCACTGACCTCCACAGCACAGCGTTGTGCTCACGATTGCAAATGTGGGTGCGAAAACCAGATTTGCGCCTATCATCGTCACGAGTATACTGCTAGGCCCTACAGGCTGTGAACTAGATGCGCTGAAAGGGGTGAACGATACACTAACGCAGTGGATAAAATGTACCCAACCACGGTCCCCAACAAATGTTTACACAGCATGTACCAGCCAAAAGAAACAGTCGTCCGTCCTAGTTGCGTTGCAATGCGTGACACCTCGTTCCCAAGAGCTCCCGTCGCCTGAGCCGCCCAGCTCATCATGTCAGAAAACTGGGCAAGCTGTTCAGCTGCGTTTAGAGAACTTTACTTCTAAGTATTGGGGCTTCACGGTAGATCACATTAGCAATCCGATCAGACGGAGAACCCGACTTCCACAAAGGACGAAATCCTATCATAAAGCCCTGAAGTAATCCGGGTCTCCCCTCCACTGTGCGAGGAATTAATAGGCTCTCAAGCGCCCCCTCAATTTTCTGTTACTTTTTAAAACCAGGCCAAACACAAACGCGGTAGATGGTGTTACTGCTGAGTAGTGCAATGAGACTGCATGGAGCTTCCCCGGCCGGCCCCCGCACCAGGCTGGGAACAGTAATCTACTGTATAAGTATGCATTCTTTCCCTGCTTTCAAAATGCCGGTAAGCTCTTTAAATACTCTATTTTTCTACACAACGGAAAGGGCAAGTTTTTACCCATAGAAGCTTCTAGAAAAACGCCCCACAGCCAGAGCTGCAATCACGCTTGTGGTAGCCCCAAGCGCAGCGGTAGCGGCTGCTGCTGTGAAGGAGGGGTGATGCGCGCGGGTGAAATGCAGACATACTTTTGTTGAAGGCAGAAGGTGGTTAAAGAAGAGTTTGCAGCTGCAAATATCTAAAGCAGCTGCATTGTCTGCCAAGGGTGCCCGTAGTAACCCCATCCCCCCCCCCACACGCGCACTGTTTCCATCTGCGGTTTCCTCTTCACCTTGTGGTCGGCAGCTGCTTCTTGGTTTTGTTTTGCTTTCTACTTTAGAACATTCACAATGGGGCGTCGTCCAGCTCGCTGCTACCGCTACTGCAAGAACAAACCCTACCCCAAATCCCGCTTCTGTAGGGGTGTGCCGGATGCCAAGCTGCGCATTTATGACGTGGGCCGCAAGAAGGCAGACGTAGATGAGTTCCCAGCTGTAGTCCATTTGGTCTCCGATGAATACGAGCAAATATCATCAGAGGCCCTTGAGGCCGCCCGCGTCTGCGCCAACAAGGCAAGTACACCAACCAACAGCTTTATTTGCATGCAGTGATGCATTCTCTGTTTTGCAAGTTCCGTACTTGCATGATTTTTCTTTTTGGGGTAGACAATCGAATGTGAATCTTCAGGTGTGCTTGTGTTCATCGGTTTCTTTGCTTTTGCACGTATGCTTATGTGATAATACGCTATTTTCCACCCCTGCGTAAGTGTTGAAATTGAGGTGGAATCATAGGTGGCAAGCCTGTTGGTGATGTTCTTACCGAGAAATAATAACGTTTTCAGTTGCAGGCCCGTGTTGCTTGCTGTAACTCGAACGGTTTGGATTTCACTTTGGAGTGTGCGGTGACTTTCCGGTTTGTTGTCCTTCAGTACATGATTAAGCACTGCGGCAAGGACAACTTCCATTTGCGTATGCGGGTTCATCCTTTCCATGTTCTCCGCATCAACAAGATGCTTTCGTGTGCAGGTATGCGCTTACCACAACGAGGTTGCATGACCGGCCGTATTTGCGTTTTGCGACTGGCTGCTGCTCACCGGCTGCTCCTCCTGATGCTTCCGCACTGCATGGTTACCATTCTTCCGCGACTGAAGTAGTTCGACAGTGTTCTTGTGTGCACCGGTTTATGTGTGAATTTGTTACTTAGGGGCTGATAGGTTGCAGACAGGTATGAGAGGGGCTTTTGGGAAGCCCACGGGTTTGGTGGCTCGTGTCAATATTGGCCAGATCCTCATGTCCATTAGGACCAAGGTAGGCAGGGTCACACCGCGGCGTTCCCAGCCTGGTTTTCCAGCTCGGTGTAGTGATATAGGGCTGTTTGTAGTGGCAAGCACTCCAGTTCACGGTGCGCACAGCGGCGCATCAGCAGCAGACCTTACCCTGTTGCGGCTAATGATGGTGTTTATTGCCATGTGATTTATTTTAAAAACTGACATATGGCATGCTATTTTAGTAATTCCGATTGCTGTCTTTCATTGTCCATTTGTAGGAGTCGACGGTCAACATTGCTACGCTGGCCCTTCGCCGCGCTGCCTTCAAATTCCCAGGACGCCAAAAAGTATTCACATCGAACAAATGGGGTTTCACTCCCTTCACCCGGGAAGAATACAAGAAGTGGCAGGCAGAGGGCCGCATCGTGTCCGATGGCGTCTGCGCAAAATGGCTGGCGAAGAAGGGGCCGTTGTCAGACACCTTCCCGTTGGCCAAGGATATCCACCTTCCTGTGGAATGCTGAATTCCGCGTCAGCCCAAGCAGCGCTTCACCCGTAGACCTGCAACTAGTGCGAATATTTCACTGCACGAGCGGCTGCCGCGATGACAGCGACAGCCAAACGCTGTGGCATTTGCAACGACATAAGGCTTGAAGCGATATATTGTGAGCAGTTTTTGTGCGTACGCATCCTGAGAAGTCTAAGGACCTTTGGAGGGATGTTCAGTCGCCGAAGTGATGACGCGTAGCTATATGGCCGTGTAGTGAAGTGGTGTCTGTATTGACACGCCGAGTCGTTTACCAGCTGTTTAGTGTTGATTATGCTTTAGTGTAGGCATCAGGTGCAACGGAGGTAGCTAAGTTCGGGGGGTATTGGGGAGGGGTGACGGTGGCAGGGGCGGTCGAGTTGTTGGATTCGATTCCAGGCACATTTAAACCCGCAGTTTAGTTACTCACTTAGGTTAGCTCTTCGCCTAGGTAGTTCACGGTGTTTCACTAAGGAAGCGCAAGTGAGGAGAATTCGTTGTCCGGTGGTTCACGGATGGACGCGGTTTGGAGGGTGGCGGGCGGCCGAATATGCCTGCCGTAAATGACTTTTTCCGTTAAGAAGGTTAAAACATTCTTTTGGATATTTATCTATAGTGTTATTTACACATCTGCAATGGTAGTTCTTGCAGAGCTGTTGCTCCTTGGTTGGAAGCTGCCGCCAACTGCGCCGTACCATGCCGGTTCGTCGGCTCCAGTTGGCTCCCACTGCGTCCTGCAGTTTGGTGTGCTATTTTAGTTGTGGTTTACATTTTCTTGCATTGAATCGCGTAGCAGTTTCCATGAAGTTAGCAACACTCCCTCTAGAACCCCTGCTTCGCCATAGAGCGCATGTCTGCTGGCTGGGGTTTTTCATTCCGGTGCAGAAAAACCCATCACCTCCAAATTCCAACCCGAATTCCTGAGAATATAAAAGTCTACCTTCGTGTATAAGGGCTATCTACACCTTACGTTCCGGCGATCGAAGGCAAAGGAGATGGAGAGGCAGTGCGTACGCGCGGTAGACGCAAGTGAAGCCAGCTTTCTTCCTAGAAGAATCTGTTGACTAGCTATCCCTCCCCCGTCCCATATTAGTAACAATACGTGTATGCTTTGCCGAATTATTTTACACTGGATCTCCCCGTCTCCCCCTTCTCTTGCAACCAGCTTGTTTGTGTGCTGCTCGCCCCTTTTTCTTCCATTACGGACAGAACTGGCGTTCTTGAGAAGCTCCTAGGAGAGGCTGCTGAACCAGATCGGGTAGCCGTCATTGGCGCCTGCTCAAGAGCCCGCGACCGATATCCCCATGCAGCTGGCACGGCAGCTTTCGCAGCTGGTACATCGGACGGCGGCAGAAACAATTAACGCCTCGCTTACGGCCTTGTGCTGAACCATGCATACCTGCATCCATGTTATTCTCCATGGGTTGTTATTCCTACCAGCTTACGTGGAGCACAGATGTACTCTTGCCGTATCTTCTTTAGCGCGGAGCTCATGCTCTTGCGTAGAGAAGTGTGTAATTGACCGCGACCGCGTCTGTAGCACAGCATTTGCCGTGATTTTGGCTTTTTGTGTTGAATAAGCAGCAAACGGTGATTGGCCCCTTACCCGCTGGATTGCGTTGGAAGCTGTCAAACGAAAGTCCCAATGGAATGGTAAGCGGGGCCACATTCTTGGAGCTCACCCCAACTGGTCAGCAGTGGAAAACAGTGGGCCCGCCTAGTATTTTGTACACCACTCTAAGGTACATGCATATAAGGATTTGGAATTCCAGGCTGTCTTTCCATTGTACTTGCGTGCGCTTGTTCATTTTCTCCCATGTTAATATTCTGTGCTACTTCGTCTGTAAATGCTCCTTCGTTCCGTTTGCCAAGCTGACCCACCAGTCAGTGGACGGTTGCCTATCATTGTCGGGATAACAGGACCACAAGGATGTGGCAAGACGACACTCTGTGCTTCCCTTCTAGTGAGATGAATTCAATTGGCCCTTGTCACCCACAATAGCCCCTTGGGTACAGCAGGCAGAGGGTCCCTTCCAAGTGCTTCGATATGTTTCCCCGCATCCTGCCCCGTCTGCTTCCCGTGATACTGCTTTTCCCTGTACCCCTTCCATCAAATATGCCACAACTCCCACAATGCTGCATTAGAGCCAAGAAAAGGAGCTCGTACTCCTTTGCGTGCAGCGCAGGCTTCGTTTTGGCAGCGTCATCGCTGTCATTATTGTTTGTGGCCTTAGGCTGGTCTTGGCGCCTTGGGCATTAAGGCTGCGGCGTCCTCTATGGATGATTTTTACTTGCCCACAAAATTTCTATCCCCTGTAGTTTTCTTGGGTGAAAACTGCTCTGGGCAAAAGCTTCTTCCTCGCCGGGGCCCTCCTGGCACACATGACATAAACCTTTGCCGCAGCGTGTTGGAGAGCATCAAGCAAAGAAAGCCGTATGCTTTTGTAGAAAATACACACCTACTGGAGAAGGAATAAGGCATTGTATATTCGTTGTTGTTGTGCCGTCTGTGGAGTATGGTTGATGAGGCTGGCCGTAGTTGTTGTCGCTGAGGTTTATGAGTTGCGATTGTCATGAAATCTCTGCAGGAATATCATGTTACCCAAGTACGATAAGAGCCAAATGAATGGAAGGGGGGATAGATCCAATGAAGCAGTTCTGCTGGATGCAACGGACATCGACGTGTTTCTTTTGGAAGGATGGATGCTTGGTAAGAGTTACGCTGCTACTGCTGCCTCTGCTGTCACCACAAGTACTGATGCTCCACAGTAGGCAGGCTTGCAGAGTACTTCCCGCTTTATTCCTAGCTCATTTTGCTTTTTCTCCTTAGAAGAGTCGAAGTACAAGTCTTACAGGTGCTGTTCGTAGCTCAAATATTACCATGTATCTTAACGAAACGTACGCAGTCGGTAGGAGTATACTGTTGTACGTGTGTATTTTGCGTTTTTGTCTCACGTGGTCAAGTGCAGTCGCAACTCCTTGTAATGTGAGCGCTCTTCCATAATCACGTAGATTTGTCTCCCTCTGTAGAATATGCTAGTACACGGTGGAGCATCTGGATAGGGAGGCTGTAAGATATTCAGTTGTATTTCTCCCTTGGTCCTGCAGGATTTCGTCATGTGGATCCTAAGGTGCTCACAGGGTGGAATTTTTCTGAACCGCAACGCGCAGAACTACATCAAGTTAACGAGTTCGTCAGATGCTGGCATTTTGTGGATGCTGCACCTACTAGCCCTGAAGCAGCTGCAGTTGCTAGTTGCTCACTTCCTTTTGCTGCTAACTGTCAGGCCTAATGGTTAGGGAGGTCTCCTAAGGGATATGCATCAAAAGCCGATGAGTACGTTAGAAAACGCGTGAAATGCGACTATTTTGAACTCCCGTGTGTTTTGCATGAGACACCGCAGATCGCTTAAGGACTACGAGCCTCTCTATGCGTACATCGACCTTTGGCTCGTCGTCAAAGTAAGCAACAGCAATAGCAGCTGCAACAGGTGCAGTAATAGCACGTTGCCGTCCTTCGCAACAAAAGCCTCCGAAACTTCCAAATCGGCATACTCACAGTAACGTGACGTCGACTCAAGGACCGTCTTCCTGTAACCTGTTTCATTTCATCGCTAGGTGGAAACGCCACAGTGGGTCTACAAATGGAGACGGCAACAGGAAGAGTAAGCATCTCGAATGCCGGCCCACTGTGAAATCCTACGAAGCACTGCAATACTGCTAGCTCTCGCTAGTGTTCAGGTAGCTCCAAAAAACAGGCACAGGCTTTTGTCTTACTTGCTGGCGTTGCCGCAGAGATACGCGAAAACAGACAGGATCAGGTATGACTGCCGGCGAAGTCGACGGGTTCGTTGATAGGTGAGCATCTTCGAGTGCGGTATTGAGCTGCCCGTTCATTCACTAATTTGGCGCTTCCGTTGGCATTTGCATTCTTGCACGTGCAGGGGCCACGCACCCATCAAACTAATTCGTGGCATCTGCTATGCACACTAAGCATTCCGTTCCGTCACTGCGTTGTGTTGTCTTGTTCTGAAGTCTGCCTCGTCCGGCATTGGTCTTGAGCATATAAAATGTGCAATGTCAACCCACACTACTGAATAGTATGAGCCATGCATGCTGTGCACATTCGGAATCTAAACTTATTGGGTACAGAAGCCGAGTGGAAGGTTTCATTCCGGGCTTTCTATGTGCTCTACTAATTCACATTCACTTGGTTTTGCCTTGTGCTAGTTGCTTAACCCATTACTGCTACGCCTATCTTCTAGCCCCGAAGGGAGCTTATGGGAGAAGCGCGAGCGTACTGTATCACGATGAATGGGTTCTCATAGCCACTATCTCTCAATCTGCGTGCACCTTGACATTAAAAAATTCACACGCTCCCCGCTCTTTGTGCGGTTCTCCAGGTTTATGCCATTGTATACGGTGTACTTGCCAGGGCTGTACGCTAACCCTCCACTGTCAGGGGGGGACCCTAGGGACCGACGCTGCCTCCTCGTTGAAGTTACTGAGCAGCGCATAGTCAAATACGCCGCTTTTATTTAATGGCGTATTGCGGCTTACCTGCCCGTAGTATGCTTATCCCATGTTCAACTGTTGTCAATCCCGTCTGCGAGAGGCAGCGGTGCACTCATAGCTCCTGCTTTCACGTCAGACACGGCTGCTCTTTTTGCATGGATAACTCCCCAAACCTTCTACCTCGTTATACGTTTGTGGGATAACGCTTGCAGTTCGTTGCAGTTGCAGAGTTGGGTTACAACAACATGTATGACGCTGAGTCCAGTTGAAGTGATCATCTCTGCCTCCCAGCGTCTTTCCCCCGGAGTTACCATCCTGCTTCCTAAGCTGAAATGGAAGAGCCGCATGGGGCCAAAGGCTCACAGGGCATTCGCAACAATGGCGGCGTCACGGAAACACGTCGGAAGTTCGCAGAGTCATGCCCATACAATCGGCCATTTCCCGGAGGTGGATTGAACACAGTTTCCTGAAGCGGGAAATTGCAGCGTTCACCGCATATGTATGCAGACAAGTAGAGGCACATGGGTATAGTAGCAAAGACGGGGCTCGTGAGGCCCAAGTGGCATTTGGCCTCGTCACGCTGTGCCCCCGCGCTGGGTCAAACTCCACCGTTAACGGGGAGGAACAAGAAGCTCTTTCAAACGTAGAACCAGTAAGCGCAGAATGCATTAGTTCTTAATATAGGTTTTATATAACAAGCTGTGCAGACATGGGATTGTGGCAACTGTCTCACTAGTGTCACTTGTCACACACCGATCTGCAGCAACCGCCACTGCGCTTTCACCGCGGCAGGTAGTGTTTCATCTGTTAGTATATATGTTTTGTTAAACTTCTCGAATTGAGTTGAAGGAGCTGAGACAGCAGTCAGTCCAACACCGCCAGTCCAACACCGCTTGACGCCCTCACCGTAAAGGCGTCTATACCGTGGACTGAAGTCAGTTGGATCTCTACGGTATCCCACAGAAGTAGGACAGTCTGTCGGGATTTTGTCTCTGTGTTCACTCTTCCCTAAAGAGTTGACACAGATACACAATAAGAACAGGAGAACAACTGGCAATCTGGCCAGCAGCCGCAGCACGGAGACACAGGCACAAAGCAGCAGCACTAGCGGTGGCGGAGCGTTGCAAGCAAATGCTGTCTCGACGGCACAGGACGCGTAGTCCTCACATATTGACGTTTTTGTGGGCAGCACTAACGGCAGCTTTACCACCTCCAGGTGCAGCAGACGCAGCTATAAGCAACACCAACTTGCCACAATGCGGATCCCCCCCGACTGCCAGCTGCGTGCTGCAGCAAGCTGTTGCCCTACAAGAATGGGGAGTAAACATAAGGAGACAGCTGCATAGACACCCGGAGCTTATGTATGAGGAGGAGAGGACATCCGCATTGGTGCAGGACGTGCTGACGGTGAGGCATTTATCTTGAGGTGCACGACAAGGAGCACCAACAGCACCAGCAGGACCACCTGCAAAGGCAGAGGCAATCTGCGCAATTGTAGCTGCTTGTACTGCTGCTGCAATTTTCGTCCTGCATGTGTTCAACTGACAATACTGAACTGAGGTCACTCCATCCTTGCATTTCCTGCGCCAACTATATCCTGCTGCTGCACCTGTTGCTGCTCTCTCCGGTGTTGAAGGAGTTAGACATAAAGTACACGGCTGGTTGGGGCAGAGACAGACGGTCATCAATCGTGGATGAGTCTTTGCTAGAGTCATCTACTGAGCGAGGGGATGGAGAGGAGCTGCAACAGATGCACCAGCAACAGCAACAGCGGGAACGGCGACAGCAAGCGGACAGTGGGCTTGAGGGGACAGGAATTGTTGCCGAGATCGGGACGGGGGATGCCCCATGTGTTCTACTTCGAGCAGATATGGATGCTCTTCCAATTCACGAGCAGGTGCTGTCGCTGGTTCTAGACACGCAAAGCTACTGCAGCCGCCCGTATGCTTGGCTGCACGTTGTTGCTGCCGTTGCTCTAACTAATATGCTGGGTATCTTTGATGCTCTAGGTAGTACTGACGTACCTGTGCCTTTCTTCACTGCATTTGCTAAGACAGACATGTTGTTTCAGTTGGTTTGACAACTTCTCAGGAAATGCCGTTTACTTCTGTTGTTGCTGCAGGCAGATGTTGCTTTTAGATCTCAGGTGGAAGGGAAGATGCATGCGTGCGGCCATGATGCGCACACTACAATGCTTCTCATGGCTGCAGCAATCCTAAAGAAGAACGAATCTTCTATTAAGGTTTGCATCACTAGAATTTAGTGCCCCCTCAGCCATTTCTGTGCCTTCTGCTCCTGAGTCTTCAGTAAACCCTCCAAGCATTTTTGCCTTTGCCGCTGGTGAATTTGCTTGTTTCAAAGCGGGGGCAGGAAGCAGTAGGTGGACTTCCCATGCAGCGGCCGCTGTTGAGATCTACATTGCCTCTGTTGGGCGTCTTTCATCAGGGCACAGTGCTGCTAATGTTTCAGCCTGCTGAGGAGGGGGGTCAAGGTGCCAAGATGATGCTCGATGAGGGTTTGTTAGAGCGGAATCCTCGGCCAAGTTTGGCTCTGGGGTTGCATGTGGACCCGCAGCTCCCGACCGGTTCTTTAGCTTCGAGAGCGGGGCCTCTGATGGCTGCCACTGGAAGGTGGGGACCCTTTCTTTTGGGGTTGTTTGTAACGGCCCTTCCGTTGTTCAATACTTTTCCTTTCCTGGCTCCCCATACCGACTTTCTTGTGACTAGTATAGATCTCATAGGCTGTTTGCTTCTCTGCTGCCTAATCTATGTTCCTCCTGCGCATTCCTTTCTGTATGGCGTCAGCCGGGCTCCTTGTTATTGCCGGTTTACCGTGCTGCCCGTTCTTCCGCCGTCGTGTGCCGTGGCGTTGGCTGTGCAGACCTTTGATCCTTGCATACTCCCCGTATTTATTGCTTGCTTTCCATCGAAAGCTGTGTCGTTGGGGTGTCTGCGCAGCTTCCACTTTGATATCGTTGGATTCGGCGGTCACGGGGCGATGCCATCCCAGACTCATGACCCTGTTACTGCATGTGCAGCCGCCGTGCAGAACATTAACAACTTTGTGGCAAGAGAGAACGATTACTCAGCTGTTTCTTCTGGATTTGTGTCGGTCACGCAGATCCAAGTCAGGCACGCACAAACCTCTGCCCGGTGTCTACTTGTGAATATCTGTCTCAGTTTCGCACGAATGCGTAGCTCCTGATATCGGAACAGACACGTACAGTTAGAGAATTAAGCTGGTGTGCACCATGTGTTCGAACCGTAGAGAAACGCGACGCACAGACAGACGCAGTGAAACAGAAACGTGGAGATAGCGAGTAACACCACGACAAATGCAGTGTATGCATAGGTGTAGCTTGAAGCTATACATGCGCTAGGGAGATTCCTATTTCTTTCTCTTCCAGGCGGGGAGCACCTTTAATGTTATTCCGTCGGAGTGTACTCTTAAGGGGACCATCAGGGCATTCAGTGACGAAAAACTGCGCGAGCTGCAACTTCGACTTCGCCAGGTCGTCCAACGCACAGCCGAGGCATTCCGCTGCAGCCTACGAGTTCGCCGTTTGCATACAAATACGCCGACCCTTCGTGTTCACCCACAGGCACTAGCGGTTTTTAAAAAGGTAACTCTTTGTTGCAGCTGTTTCGAGGCTGCAAGAGCTGTCTCGAGGCTGCTTACTCCCTTCCCTCTGCATGCTGTTGCCTCCATTGCACACTCCAGTGCATGCATCCTGCTTCGTGCGAGCGTGCTGCATTGCTGCCTATTTGTGCCTGTTGTCGGCATGGCCGTTTACGTTGCGGTGACGTTACGCTTCTTGCTGAGTTGCAGGCTGCCTCAGCAGTACTCCCGGAGGGTCGAATGGAAGTTATGGAGCCGACGTACGGCGGCGAAGACTTTTCTTTCGTGCTGAACAAGCTTCCAGGAGTCTTCGCGTTTATTGGGATCGGGTGAGTTGCCTCCCACAGAATGATCCCAGTAGTCGCTCGTGTTATTGTTCTTCTGGAGTCCTTGACCTTCCATGCCGCCGTACGAGAATGTGCATTGCTTGAGGTTCTCTTTGACGGCCACCTAGCTAGCTTATCCTAACCAGCACTATAGTTTTCTTTCATTTCGCTTATTCGATTCTCCCATGCTGTGCCCCGCTAGGGTAAGCCCCCTTATCTGTTGTGATGGGTGAAGAGGTAAACAGTTCAACGTAGATCCAGCTGAATACGAGTGTAGAAATGAGTGGAGTGAGACGACCACTAGGTATGCAGGAAGCACGAGCCGGATCTACGTTGAACTGTTTATCCCTCCATCCATCACAACAGATGTCATCTCACTCCACTCACTTCTACAATCGTATTCATGCACCATTTGGTATCTGTGCCGTATGAAATGCTCTCAGAAGCGGGTCGCAGAAAGCAGGGAACGTGCCAACTTCTTTCGGCCTCCATCACCCGAAGTTTGCTGTAGATGAAGAAGCATTACATTTGGGTGCGGCAGTTGAGGCGCAGTTTGTCTTTGATGCAATCAACCATTTGCGTGATCACCAGATTCAGCAGGAACGGCAAGACCGCGGCGAAGAACTATAATGCGCAGCTCCCTTTTCAGTGGACCACGTGTACATGATCCCTTCCGTGCAAGGAGTGTCCAACCACTGACGAATTTGCCGCTAGGCCAGCAAACAGTGATGAGTCAGCGCTGTGCCATCGGGGAGGATAATTGTTTTTGGTCACTTAGGCAGCGTATGGATTGACCAAAAGCAAAGTGGAACTGGGTCATCACGCCACTCAGGAAAGGGTGGAGTGAGCCCAAGCAACTGGCCTGCATACAAGCAAAATCCTTTAACGATCGCCCACAGCCTTAGTACCCAGTTCTGCTTGTATACGAGTCTCTCTTGGCAGACGAGTTCCATAGGGGTGCGCAGCAACTCGTGGCAGGCCGCCTCCCCTCACGCAGTTCCAGGGGCTTTGGCAACCTAGTAATGCAATACAGTGCTCATGCATACAGGCATGAAGGATGGCTTGAGCTTGCATGGGAGCTCCGTTGCCGGCAGAGTTGCAGCAATCTGCGTTGCAATGTATGTCATGCCGCCTCCACTTCCGCAGTTCCAAGGAGCGCCCCAGTGGGCAGCTGTGCTCAGGGCGTTTGGATAGAGTGTAGGGAGGTCAGCTGCCTTCAATAAGATCTCATCGAGAGTATTTGGCTTCTATTGCAGTTCTGAGTGGCCTTCGGAAAAGATCGGGCAGTTGGCCTGCGCGCCGCCCAAGGGCGCTTGTAGACTGGGGAGTTCAGCTGCTATTTAAGAGCTCGTGTCTTAGGTGATTTGTTCCATTGCAGCTCGCATGAGACCTTGGATAGGAAATGCGTTGCCAAGTATAGGACAGGTCATCGGTTTTATCAAAGGTCTCACCGATTACCTGTCCTACACTTGCCAGCACACTTCCTAACCTCGTGCTCCAAGTGCTTCGACCGCAATGTTCAGGAAGTGTAGATGCTCGGTAGGGGGGCAAGCGGCTCTCACGAAACTTTTTAGACTACTCGGTCTTGCATTGACGCATGAATTCTTACTTGGCCTCAGGAGGTGCAGCGAGGGACCTCAAGCTCGTCTTCGGGCTACTGCGAGCAGAAGTTGAACCCAAGTGCTTAAGACAAGCGCCCCACAAAACCACTGATTCCGCTCCACAGTAACCAGGAATCCCAGCCTTGGCGTCTCAAGAGGCTAGAGCTGCAGGAGAGGACGAAGCCTCGCATTGCATGAATTGCAACGCATCTTGCTGCGACACAAACTGCAAGGAAGACCCCCATGAAAGCAGAAGTCATCATTGTTCGCTGTATTCATGAACAGTGGACAGAGTACTGAAAACTTCGGCTTGTGTACCCTTTGCCGACTACGGCCGCTTAAGGCTTCATGTGCCAACTCCAGAGGGACTTGACAATACCTGACAGCAAATGATACATCTTCCAGGACCCCCATGGCGCAGCCTGTACATTCCCATGTGCAACCTCACCGCCCCTGAAGATGGCCGTGTTGAATTGTGATTACTTCGTGTTGTTGCTCAACCAGGCGTGCTTGGGCTGCTCCTGCTGCTCCTGTCACCCTGTGCCCCAACAGCACCACCTGCAGAATCTAAACGGCGATTTCGTCAGTATTGCACAAGACCTGATATTGTGGAAGTTGCGCAGAAGATCGCCTCATCATTTGCAGAACATGTGTTCGTAGGTAGCGCTGACTGTGCTAGCTGGGTTGGCACCACCAATGCTTTTCTTGTAAACGAGAAACCAGTGGCTCGTTTTAGAGGACCGGGCATCCCCTTGATACTAGGGACATGGGACATTCAGCGTCCCACTTTGTCGAGGAGAACTGATGTACGCGCGATTTAAAGAAGTTCGCTGCAGGCAGAAGAGAGGCACTAGATCATGGCCAAAGTATATATGTAATTTCTGTATAAATTTGTGCTGTATATAACTAGCTGATAATCATGTTTCTTGTAACGCCTAAAAACATATACAATTCGAAGCATTTTGACATCCTGGGCTGCCAGATGGTAACGACTGGCGAACAATTAGGCGAGCTCCAATCTAAAGCTTCACATTCCAAGCTGATACCTGCAGTTGCTGCAGGCAAAAGGAGGCTGACATGCAGAAGGTCTCGAGGAATACCTTCGCCTGGACGGTCCTCAGAACCGACTCATGTTGCCGTCTTCCTGACCAGTCAACAATACAGGCAGTTTCTTTGGCCTCTACAAACTGATACAGAAGCGCTTTCGATCTCAGTCTTCCCCATTCGTGGCCCCTCAGCACGACTTCGTTGCGTCTTTGCAGATAAAGTTCGGCGGTGTTCAGGCGAATCCCTGAAGCGCAATGGAATGGTGAAATCTCCACCTTGAGGGTACGGCAACGACGTAGGCCAGCGTGTGTTTACATGGGAACGGTCGTTTCAGGTTGCTGATACACTTGACAGAAGGCACAAGACTCCGACCAATATTTGCACTCGCAAAGTGGAGTAGATATGTAGGAACGTTGAGTTGACTAAGGCACCTGCCCAGGTGCAGCGGCAGGTCGATTACGATTTCTCTGGTCCAACCACTATGGAGGCGATTATTTTCTCAGTGAGAAACGCCAGTATGCTTAGTTGGAATGTGCAGGGGCCAGTGCAGCACCTGCGGTATGCGCTGTGAGTGCCAAGCGCGAAACAACAGTTTGCAGAGGGGTAGACGCTCAAGGCATGCTGTCTGGAGCCAAAAGGGAAATTAAACATTACCGCTAAAGAGCATTATAGTCTAGAGAGGTAAAGACTCTCATTAAACAGATAATGCAAGCTTAACTTAAAGCATCACGTTCAATGCAGTTCCTTTTCATTTGTAGGTGGATGCCGCTTACAGCACGCCCTGTTGGAGATGTCTCACCACCCTAGCGACCGCCGAACAACTACCGGTATAATGCAATCAGAAATACGCACACAGTCGAAGTAGGGAGGTGGATGTGACATAGCGGACCCCGAAGCCCACGGAATAGTCTACTGGAGACGAAGAGCTTAACATGCTCACAACAACGGGAAGAAAGTTGACTAGGAGGCCTCCGACATCAGCATATTTTACCAGCGTCTTCCTGCTTGGAATGTAGCATGTAATGCTGATCTAGCGGGGTGCAATTGACATATCCAACGTTGGCTTCGGTAGATGTTGCTCTCTGTGCTACGTGCTAGCGTCCCAGTAGTGCAGTACTTGTCTCTGAAGCCCCATAGATGCTATTGGGCCTAGTCTATGCATCTAGCCGTTTCCTTGGCTGATAAAAGGAGCTGCACAGTTGTCAAGAAATGGGGGCGTCTACTGCTATATCGGGCCCCCTGACCGCCCCAAACAAAAATTGCAGGGACCATTCAAGGCGGGTTACTGACGAACGTTATGCCCTGTTGCACTAGTTGGACTGGTGCCTAAGGCGAAAATGAATGAGTCTTGAGTGCTTGCTGAACGTTTTCTGAGAATAGCCCAGTGGCCTCGCCTTGCAGACGGCCCAAAACGGCCTCCACTCACAGATAAATGGAGCCACACGGCATAACCAGGGGAAACCGCAGCTAGAGAAAACAAAAGAAAGCAGGCAAGCACTATTCAGCATTGAGTGCACGCACAGACAAGAGTAGCACCAGCAGCGCCATCAGTACCGGTGCGCTCCGCCCCCCAAATACGTCTCCGTACCAATCATTTTTTTCGTCTATTCGGCCACAATTCCGACATTTGCTGAGTTCCGAAACACAACCTCCGCAGAGCCAATTCCTCTGCTCCAGTTGCGTTAGTCTGAACGTGCAACTAGTGGCCGAGAACCATCAGCAAAATTGCCTACATCTGGAGAGCCCTAGCTAGTTGCCAACCTGCCCGAGTTGCACTTGCACGGTCAACTCGTTGTGTTCGCCGCCTCCTGCCATGCCTCCAAATCGAACTCGTCCTCCTCTGCGTACTCTGGCAAAATACCTCTGAGGAAAGGCAGTAAAGCAACAGCAAATAGTAGCATATTAGAAGGCCGCCACCCCGGGGAGACGAAGGCATCGTTTGCGGTCCCAGACACAGGCGCAATCGCTTGGGATTGCACAACGTAGATGAACATATTAGCAATGAAGGGCAAATGATGCACCCGAAGAAGGAGGTGTAAACTCCAGCATATACTTGTCCACGTAACAAAGTGCGAGCACGCGCCTGTGAGGGGCAATGGGAGGCGCAGGAACACAACACCGTGGGAAAGAGGAAGCAAAAGCGGAGAAGCGCGAAGTGCAGATGAAAGCCGACTCCAGAAGATGGATGGACGAGAAGATCAAAAGACGTATAAACAAGAGATTCTGTATACGTGCAACAGCGAGGAATCGGGGGATGGCTTGCGAGGCAAAACGGTGGGAAAGCCAGGGAGGCAGCAGAGAGGCAGCAGAGAGGCAGCAGCACAAGCTTGACTGCAGGCGCTAAACGGGAAATAAGACACTCAACTGCTCATTAACAGTAAAAACTAGAGGAGGAAAAATGAGGACACCGATTTCCCCGACAAAAGGAACACCGATTTCTCTTACCTGATTCTACACTTGGCCTTCAATTCCATAACCTCCGCCGTCAGCGGTCCCAGAGCCTCAATGATGGATGCGTTGCTGCATGAAAAGCAAAGAAAATGACACAGAGCACACAGCAGACTCACACAGCTCAGGATACAATGAGGAGATAGCACGGCCAAAGCACCTCAGAGGAAGCAAACGAAGTGGGAGTAGTCGTCGCACACATGCATGCGGGTCAGTAACAGAAATGCGATCAAGATAGATTGCAGCAATCATGCGAGGACACATCGAACAGAAGAGCTGCACAAGGGTGTAGAAAAGCACCGTAAACTTCATGAGGGAAAGGAAATTGCACAGGTTTGACCCGACACATCGACGACGAGAGCAAACCATATCACGGAAGAAGGGGAGTTCAAGAAGCGGTCCATGAAGACAGGTAGATGCCAACCTCCCGCATCTGCTACTGCAACGCTTGATGCCACTTCTGCAAATGTCGCGACTGTCACATGCTGTGTGATGCCGCACTTGTTTTTGTATTGCTGGGCCGTTTGCTCCAGCTGCTTGAGGGTGCCTGATGCCTCTACCTGCAGCGCAGATTGGCACACACTGCAAATGCACAGAACTCATGCAACAAAGGAATACGGCACACTAATCCAGGAACAAACGACACGGGAAAAGAGGCAGTATCTCACCTGCTGCACTTTTCGTGTCTTGCAAATAGAATTCTCCTCCTCGGTGCGGCGCTTAGTTGCAGCGACAAGTCTGACGGTGGAATTTCGTACGTATGTGCAGCGGCAAGAACAGAGAACGCGGCAGAGACGAGGGAATATCCAACAACCGCACAAGAGAAAGGGAAAATAGCGATAACGGTCCACATGGAAGTGAATGACAAATGGAGGAAAAGAAGGGGAAAATAGCAACAAATGCGCCACCAACAAGAAAACAAAATATATGGAATACAGATGGTGCAAGCCGGGGTAAAAGGTAGCAACAGGCAAACCAACGGAGCCCGAAACAAAAAGCAACTTTGGCAAGGGGAAGGAGCAGCAAGGAGGGCAGAACGAACAGAAAGCAACAGGAGGCAGGAGCGAAGATATAATGGTTCTTGATGTGCGTCGTAAGGACGAACCTGTCCTTGGTCTGCGTGAGATTTGTGAGGTGCCGCTGCCAAGACGCTGCAGCATGGGCGTTCATGAGCTCGAGGTTTATGTGAGCTGTTGCTGCGTGCTGCAGCAGCTGCTGACAGTTTATCACTGTCTTCTCCCACGCCTTCACGTCTCCAGCCTTCGAACCCGAAGGCACCGAAAACGAAGTGTATTTGCTCAAGTCCAACTCGGGAATGGGCTCCCCTAAAACGCACACAGGCACCAGTCAGCAGGCGGCAAACTTACACAAAAATGCCTACTGTAAAGATACGTAAATACATAATTACTACCCCACTTGTTGATATGCATGCAGATTCTATGCATATATGTGCTGTGCATATGTATACACGGAGTGGTATGAATATACATGCATTTACAAATATATATATATATATTATAT